ACACCAGGGCCTCTGCACTCTCATCCTTCTAACCCGGATCATAACTGTTGTAAGACCTATTTAACTGCAAGAATATCAGGCTGAACACCCTAGGAAGACATTTTTACCTGTGAAGCATGGAAATCCGAAGCCACTGTGCCTTTATAGCATATGCTTCTCCATGCAGTACTTGGAAGGGTTCTCAAAAGTTATCTTAGCAATGCGAGAACATCCATAGAGTCATATGCAAAGAAAATGTAGGCAACGGTATGTAGCCTTGTTTAAGCTACGCATACACTAATGCTAATACTAAAATATAACATTTGTGTTCAGCATTTAGGTGGAAAATCCCCGCTTCCAAAAAACATCCATCCCTCCCATAATATAGCTTTTGAAAATTGGTTATTGATCCGTTATCATTAAGATTTTATATTGCTTTTTGACACTTACCAGTTTGGCTTATCTAGACCTATGTAAGGCTTGTGTTTGAGAGTGAACCACGTTAGCTTTACTTCTGCTATTCTCCTGGACTATGTACAAAACATCATTCAGTTTACACGTGATTAAATATGGACCATCCTAGTCACATCGTATTTTTTTTGCAGTTACGTTTAGGTTGTTGATGATTATACTGCCATATAGCATCACCTTTATTAAAAATGGGTTTCCTGGCTCAGAAGTCAAACTGCTATTTCGTTTGATCGCTCATTAGTTTGATATGTTCACATGCAAATTACAAACTCGTGAGTTTTGTCGATTTTTTTGGCCAAGTTCGTATACATAATCAACACGAAAATTTTCGTTTTTTTTTTCTGGGCCTCAGTATGTCCAAATACTAAATCCACGGGTAATGCTGCCTGACGACCGAGCATCATTTCATAGGAAGAAACTCAGGTGTTCTCATGAACAGCTGACCTGTAAGCTAGCATAATTAGATATGTACGCTCATCTCAGACTTTTGTTGTTTCGAAACATAAGCAGACAAAATATTCTCAATGGTTCGATCAGCACGTTCAACCATGCCATTCGACTGAGGTCGTAACGGAGTGGACATTGTTTTTCAGTACCAAGGATATTACAGACCTCTTTAAACACGTGAGACTCAAAATTTGCTCCTTGACTGGAGTGGATTTACATCGGGACATACCAACGTGAGCATGAACGTAAAACACAGACCGTTTAAACAAACTAGGGTGTTACAACCAAAAGTAATAAATCACGTACAACAAAGTTTTTTTAAGTCAACGCCTGTCAGTTCCGCAAGGCACCAGAAACAACAACATTAACATCCTTCTTATTTTGACTCTTATTTGCTACCATTGATTCGGTCTCTTGCTCCTTGGCCAATAAAGTAATCATGTTTTCTTGACTCCTGTATAAAATCATTGGACATTGTCGAACGACAAACCGGTTAACCGGTTCATTACAGTGATGTCAGTTTTAAGAAGATATTTAAATAATATAGAATTTATTTGAGAAAACGGGGTACAGCCATGTTTTGAACAAGTTAAATTCATGGGTCTATTGTTTGAAATGTGTACTCGCCAGCAGTTCTGACATTGTCTGGAAATAAAACTGGCGATACCGAACTAGTAGCTTATTGTCTTCCAATGCATACAAAATATGCACAGGATATGCAACTCTATGCAGAAAATAAAAAAGAACTCGCGATATAGTAGGAAGCTACCATTCGTGTTCTGTTTTGTAGTCGTTCCACACAGCATCGCAAAAGATATCCTTGTCTGTAGCTCAGTGAATTTTCACGTCAGCGTCTTTAAACGTGAGTAACAATTAATTAATTCACATTGCCCACGAACTATTTAAACACTATTTGACTCGTCAAAAAGCGTAACAATTGCAACTCATTACATGTTGAAACAGGGTGATCAGATTACTGCCAGTATTTCGATGCCGCCATAAGGTGTGGATGAGTGGATGCATCCATGTGCTTATTAAGGTGTGGTCACCTTAACTTTTACCTCATAATATAGTTGTCTCATTTTGATTTTTTCAGTAGCAGTATCAAACACGACTTCTAGAAATCGGAGGAGCTAGACGGTTTAGGTGTATCAAATGAATAGTGTTACGCTGTATCTCAATAAGAGATATGTTTACATCATTAACGCACGAAACAAATTCGGTAAATTTAGTAATAGTCTGAATATAAGTCCCTGTTTGTACCTTCTCCCAACGACTCCAATAAGAAAACTCTTTAGTGGGTTACAAAGTGCACAGAAGTTCATTCACTGATTTATAATTTCTAACCTGAATGTGACCAGAGGAGCCCTAACACTGGCATTCTCTGCTCCTTGCATACTTAATAGACTTTACATAATAACACAGCGCCATGTTGCGTATACGATGTGCAAGTTGATTTCCTCTGACTAAATTGTGATGTAGTTCATCCTGTTCGGAACTGCTGGATAATTACGTAAATTACCATAATGCTGAGAGTATCCATTGGCACTGATGTACGTAGAGAATACACCGCTTGTTAATTCCACGTGAAGGTGAATTGAAAATAAGCAGCTTGTTAAATCCACAAGAAAGGCACATTTGTAGGTCTCATTCCTCTACTTGCTTGATTCGACATTGTAGCTATAGGAATTAGACGGGATAGTATTTTAATTATATGTACAGACGGGGTAGTAGTTTAACCCTATGTACAAACATGTGCATATGGAAATCCACATCTTCGCTGAAAATGGACTTGTCCAGGAACTGGAAAAGTCTGGGGAACAGTGTCGTCTTTTACAATGAAAACTTCCATTGGGAATGAAACGCGCAGACGATGATGGCATTAGACTCCCACTTGGGTATAATCATTTTTGAAATTATAAATCAATAAATCAATTCACTAAGCTCTGTGCATCTTTTGTCTCATTTTTGCTTTCATTTTTTAAGTTGTTGATTGGGTACAGACAAAACGGGAGGTATATTCAGACTATACATATGGTTGTTGTTGCTGTTGTTGAGCTTAATGCCATTTTTCAGCACACGATAGGCTATTCATGGCGGCCAGTATTAATGGCGGAGGAAGAAACCGGGAAATCACCGGAAAGAACCACCGACCCACGAGAAACTACTGGCAAGCTTTCTCGCCGAATCTAGACTCGAACTCACGCAGACAGAGGTGAGATGGCAGTGATTCGTAATGGTAACATATGGACACGCTTCGTGAAAATTCACTGAGATATCATTTGCGATGCTGCGTGGAACGAACTATGGTTTCGAATGTTGAAAGATCCGTATGAATTTTCATTGTGGTATAAACTGTTAGTTGCCAAATCACGAAGCAAGCAACGCTCCAAGTGTATTATGTAAGCAATTCATTATAATTTTATTAATTATTTTTATTTTTAGTTTGTGTTTTTAAAGACAATTTGTATTAGTTATAGAGCCTTAATTTAGTGTATGAATTCTAGTTAAAGGTTTCTTTTACTATGCTATTTTTAAAATATACGATTCTATTTCATTAAAATAATAACTGTCAACGTCAAACAAGCAATTCCACCAATGGTAGACTATATAAGGTTTTGAACATTCCACTGCATGGCTAATATTTGACTTAATTTGTCACGTGTGCTGAGTTGAAGTTCAAAGCAAATAATGTGTTGATATGTTGGACATACAAATGACTAGGATCCGATGCTTTCTTAGACGAGTCCAATGTGATTTGGTTTATTAATTATTATATAGACTGCAAATAACTAAATTTTGTTTCTTTAAATCCATGTTCATGTTCATGAACAGGTCATGAAACAAACAGGGGCTATTTTTGAATGAAATTAAGACTATTAGTAAGTGATTACAGTACGAGGTTTAATAGTCAAATGAAGTAACAATCGGATTAAAATCAAATCTTTATAGTCCTCGATGACTAACAGCGATCGCTTAGCGGTTCTGTTCTAGTGACCTTTGCATTACTACTTCACTGCTTTTCCTTATTCAGACTTGCAATGTGATTAAGAACTTCATAGTTCCCACTTACATGTTTGTCACGCTCTGTGTGTGTGTGTTTGTGTGTGTTATTTACCTTTTCAATGAAACGTTTTAAAATTTCTCTTCATATGCACCTTCATCTTTCCACTATGACGATACAATTCACCACATTTTTTAGGCTTAAATGATTTGTTTATTTTGCGTGTATGGGTGTGTGGAGGAGCATGGAGTTTTTTTCGTTGTTTCTCACATTCATTACGTATGGTAATGTGAACCTCTTTTTTCACTATGACGATCCATTTCAATAGGTTTTCATGCAGTATGTAGCATTATTTGAACTTTTTCCTGTAGACAAATGTTGGTTGGCTTAACTCCATTTTTTCAGCAGACACACAAACAGACACACGTCACAATTACAAAACATTGTTCACGCTATTTTCACAATTATTACGGCTATTCCAAGCTTTTACTTGATGCCATACCTTAGAAAATTATTTAATTGAAATTATGTTTTAAAATAGGTAAGGTCTCAATGAGAGTTGTTGCATAAAATGATTATTTGGAAGATATTAGGGGTCTCAAGTTAGTGGTAATGTATAAAATTACTTTTTATAGTCATATTTAATTGTTACAGGGATTATTCCAAGTAAGTGTTGCATGATTTCTGCATGCAATCATTTTGGAATTTAGTCTTGAAAATATTTTGTAACGGCAGAAAAAAAATTGAGGAATGACAATGATAAGGCTCAAGTGGGATAAATGATATTATTGGTACCATCTGTAGATGATCAAAGATGCTACAACGTACGTACAGATTTTAATGAAAATGCAAAATTGTTGGACGAGGACGTTAATGATACTATTGACTTCGTCACCGACAACAAAGATGTGCCCTTAATGATTTCCACTGTTATACATGAACAGCTGGCAGCTTAAGGGTCATGTTCTGGAAACCTGTGTTATTACCGTAAACCCTAATTATATCAGCCAATTAGATGACCAGTCCTAACACTAATCCCTTTATGCTGAGCGCCAAGCGAACCAGCTGTTAGTACCATTTTTTGTAAGTCTTTTTTATATGATTCAGCCGTGGATCGAAACCACGACCTCCAACATCCGAGGCGGACGCTCTAACCACTAGGCCACCGGAGCGGTTAAATATTAGTGAAAATGTATTTAAAAAACGCAGTAGCAATAGAGTATTACTTGAAAAAAGGCAAGGTGCAATGCTTAAAAGGAATTTAGCTAACAGTAGGGCACTTTATCACTACGGTTGCTTAGTTGTTAGAGCGTCCGCTTCTGATTGGGAGGTCGCAGATTCGAACCCCGACTGAGTCATACCAAATACTTATAAGAATGGTACTAGCAGATGCCTCGCTTGGAGCTCAGCATAAAGAGGTTCGTGCTAGGACTGGTCGGCCTGGTGTAAGGATAATGTGACTGGGTTGGACAGAATTATACGTCTGCGGCACGATGCCAGTGCTAGATATCACTATAAACTGTTAAACAACATGCTACACAGAGGCGTAGCTAGGGTGGGGCAGGGGTTACATATGTCCCCGGGCGCCAAGGTACAGGGCGCCAAAATGAGGCTTACAACGTTACATTATAATAAGTAAACAAGGGTAATAAATCGGTCATAAGATCGCAGCAGCGGCTCAGCAGACGTGTCATCTGATACGTCTGCCATCCACAGTGATAATGCTGTCTGCCAACCAATGTTTTATTAAAATTTAAATTGTTTTCATTATTTAATGTAATAGAAAAATGTGATTAAACGGGGAGGGGGCTGGGGCGCCAATTTTATAGTTCGTCCCCGGGCGCAAAATATCATAGCTACGCCTCTCATGCTACATGCTTAATAGCAACAAATTTTTTAACAAATTTTAAATGTTAAAGCTACTGTGAATGTCGCGCGCTATGATGTCACAATGAAAGCTATGTATATTGATAAACAAATTCTTACTACCATATATTGAGACGATTCCACTCGACATGATCTTTTCTTTATCCAAATTTAGTACATGGCTAATATTGTAAAAGACCATAAAGATTGATAATTTGTGTCTGTAAGTTTCTTGATTACACTTAACATGCAGAGAATTCACTAATCAGGATTGAATAGACTTTGGCTAAAAAAAAAATTAGTGTTAACTTTAAAAGAAAAACTAAACAGCAAAATAATATTTTAATGTTAAATGAGTAAATGTGTGTACATGACCCATAGGACTTTTACTAAGCCGATCTATGAAGTGGCGAAAACAAATTTGCGACTGACACATGCTGTTGAGAAAGTGCAGAGAGTTCTTGAGTTCCGGTGTTATTAAAAAACGATATTAAGCAATTGAGCAGAGTGATTCTTGTTCCGTGCACTGTACGGCGGCACTTTGATATAAAGCTAAGTACCCTGAAGAAGCTACACTGAATTCAAAATCAAGTATGACTACAATTTTACTTCCGGAACGTACTGGGTATAAACTCGCAAGACTGTTACTACAACTATAACTCATGTTTGCACGAAACGATGAAATTTATTGTTACGCTCGGCAAACTAAAACGACGAAGATATTATATTTATTTGCTGACATCTAATCTAGCTATGGTAGATGTGTATCTGAACCATTCAGATTGCTTTCTTCTTAAAGGGCCACCACATGTACATGTACATTCATACACAGGGGCTCGTATAATTGCTTACAAGTTACCGTCATACATGTACTATATAATATTATCTAGTACATGTATGACGGTAACTTGTAAGCAATTATACGAGCCCCTGTACATTCAGACAGGTGTGGTACGTTTTTTTTGCTGTGATGTTTCGTACCCAGTATGCTGTTTTATTTTCCATTAAACTTACTTTGATTTAATATAAATGAATTGCGAAAACTTAAAATTATTTTTCATTATTGTTAAAATGGAAAAGTCATCATTTTTTAAAAAATTATTTAAAGTACAACAAAATTTTAAAATGCATAATGAGCCTTGAGTGGATATTAAAGTAACCGTAAATGTACATAAGTATTAAATTAACATAAGTATTTAAGTATTAAAGTAACATTATGTAAAAATAATTATTAAAGTAACAGTAAATGTACATAAGAATTAAATAAACACGATGTATACACCAGTATTAAGGTAACATGTAAAAATAATTATTAAAGTAACAGTAAATGTACATAAGTATTAAATAAACACGATGCATACACCAGTATTAAGGTAACATGTAAAAATAATTATTAAAGTAACAGTAAATGTACATAAGTATTACATTAACATTAAAGTAAATGTACATAAGTATTAAATTAACATTAAAGTAAATGTACATAAGTATTAAATTAACATTAAAGTAAATGTACATAAGTATTAAATTAACATTAAAGTAAATGTACATAAGTATTAAATTAACATTAAAGTAAATGTACATAAGTATTAACGTAACATTAAAGTAAATGTACATAAGTATTAAATTAACATTAAAGTAAATGTACATAAGTATTAAATTAACATTAAAGTAAATGTACATAAGTATTAAATTAACATTAAAGTAAATGTACATAAGTATTAAATTAACATTAAAGTAAATGAACATAAGTATTAACGTAACATTAAAGTAAATGTACATAAGTATTAACGTAACATTAAAGTAAATGTACATAAGTATTAAATTAACATTAAAGTAAATGTACATAAGTATTAAATTAACATTAAAGTAAATATACATAAGTATTAAATTAACATTAAAGTAAATGTACATAAGTATTAAATTAACATTAAAGTAAATGTACATAAGTATTAAATTAACATTAAAGTAAATGTACATAAGTATTAAATTAACATTAAAGTAAATGTACATAAGTATTAAATTAACATTAAAGTAAATGTACATAAGTATTAAATTAACATTAAAGTAAATGTACATAAGTATTAAATTAACATTAAAGTAAATGTACATAAGTATTAAATTAACATTAAAGTAAATGTACATAAGTATTAAATTAACATTAAAGTAAATGTACATAAGTATTAACGTAACATTAAAGTAAATGTACATAAGTATTAAATTAACATTAAAGTAAATGTACATAAGTATTAAATTAACATTAAAGTAAATGTACATAAGTATTAACGTAACATTAAAGTAAATGTACATAAGTATTAAATTAACATTAAAGTAAATGTACATAAGTATTAAGGTAACATTATGTATAAATAAGTATTAAAATAATATTATTTATCATATGTGTTAAAGTGCATTAAGTCACCTGAGTAAGTTTATAAATCGTATTTAAGACATAAAAATAAAGTGAACTTAATCTACAGCCTGTTATCAAAGTTATTTACAAAGTAATCAGATTGAAATTATTAAATAGACAAAGAATAAAGGAAATAGACATTAAATACAGCAGCAATTATAAAAATAATTAAGTGATAATTATAGTAGTATATACTCTGTTTAAAATGTTCCAAATTAATGTGTAAAATTTACATTTTTTTAAAAATTGACATAAAAATCTCAGTTATGAAATATCAGGTTATAAAACAAAAACAAAAAAACAGGTTATGAAATGAAGATCCTTATTTCAGATTGCACCATTCGTTAATCTAAACTAAGGTATAAATTTATTTCAAGCATAAAAGATCATGTGTTGTATCCACAAATATTGAGCAGTGTATTTGATCTGTCTATAATTTGAGAAGTACATCATTAATCACAGGTTCCAGATATATATAAAGATGTCATTCTCACCATTCAATATTCTTGCTATTACTGACAACACATGCTTTCTCATTGCTTCTTTAAAACTAGTGTAAATACATTATAATTTACAAACTTTCTAGAGTCAGTGTTCCATCATTATGCTATCTTAGAAGTTTTAATAGTTATAAAAAGATTTTTTTTATAAACAATACAAATTAAACTTATATACCTTCTCTAAAGTTTGTCAACAGTGATGCACAAAAATTGTAAAGCAGTAAGATTTAAGCGATCTAAATTTGCTAAATTTAGCAAATTTGTTTGAGTACATCTGTAATCTCTCATCATCGTTATCATCTGATTGATTGGATTTGAAAATATGCCTAACTGTGTACATGCGCAGAAGCATGACCATTATGAAGAACAGAGGGAGGAGATGGTATTGTGAAAGAATACCAAGTGATAAACCAGTGTTTGTGTATTATGTATTATAACAATAATTTATTATGTATTGTGTGTTATGTATTACAACAATCATTTATTATGTATTGTGTATTTTGTTGCTATTGTTGTTGTTGGGCTTAATGCCATTTTTCTGCATATGATAGGTTATACATGGCGACCAGTATAATTGTTGGAGGAAGAAACCCGAAAATATGTGGAAAGAACTACCGACCATTGAGAAGCTACTGACAAGCTAGTATTATGCATTATATCAATAATTTATTATATATTATGTATTATGTATTAAAATAATTTAATTGTTTCTTAATTCTGCTTTGCTTGATAGATTACATCAAAGAAATTAGATTCTCACCTTACACAGTTTAACTTGTTGCCTTCTACCATTAATAATGTTGATAGGCATTTTTATTGTCCGTCAGCTCTTTTAAGTGTCCACTGAATGACCACTGTCCAAATGCTTTACTAGCACCACAATGATTGACCCTATCAAATGCTTTACTAGCACCACAATGATTGACCCTATCAAATGCTTTACTAGCACCACAATGATTGACCCTATCAAATGCTTTACTAGCACCACAATGATTGACCCTATCAAATGCTTTACTACTACCACAATGATTGACCCTGTCAAAAGCTGTACTAGCACAATGATTGACCCTGTCAAAAGCTGTACTAGCACCACAATGATTGACCCTATCAAATGCTTTACTACTACCACAATGATTGACCCTGTCAAAAGCTGTACTAGCACAATGATTGACCCTATCAAATGCTTTACTAGCACCACAATGATTGACCCTGTCAAATGATTTACTAGCACCAAAATGATTGACCCTATCAAATGCTTTACTAGCACCAAAATGATTGACCCTATCAAATGCTTTACTACCACCACAATGATTGACCCTGTCAAAAGCTGTACTAGCACAATGATTGACCCTGTCAAATGCTTTACTAGCACCATAATGATTGACCGTATCAAATG